TTGCCTTATCATAAAATATGGATCTTATTGGTTGCAACACGAATTGCATCATATTCTCCATACATGGATCAAAACTCCACCAAAAAAGCCTCTAGATTATCTAATATTGGATCTCGTCGTTCAAGAAAAGATGAAAACCATGATAGTGCTGAACTTGAAAGAAACGTACCAATGAATCTAACTTGCGATCCTGGAGTTGGATAGCTTTGGGGTTGAAGTTCAATCACAAGTTGCACTTGATTGATAAATCCTTGAAACTTGGATTTGATGCCATCAAACTTCTCGGGTAGGGTAATTCTTGGTTCTCTAATATTTAAAGGGCATTCCACCATAGGAGAAAGGACATGGTTTGGTGCAGACGTTGAAGCAGCTCCAACCATTTCTATATCTTCACTTCCTGCCAATCTTGTTGCTCCTTGTAGTGGTAAATTTAGTTGATGCATTGCAAGCATTAACTCCCTCAATTGCTCTTGCATTTGTGCCATTGCACTCTTCGTTTCAATAAGTTCAGCCATGATAACACTTAGAAGAGAGAAGATGTCTAATATCGCTCAAGACAAATAGAAGAGAGGACTTGAGAACAAAGAAAATACTAAGGACAATATTAGTTTAGAAGAGGGTAATCCGTAACTTCTAATATGCTTATATATTTTATAAAAAAAAAAGGGTAATCCACTCTTAATCAAGATTAGACAAAGCTCTGATATTGTAGGTGTACTCTTGTCAATCTGTCAAGGACAAGAACTCGATGAAAAAATAATTCAGATAAATGAGCCTTCACTCAAAGAGAGGTAACAAAATATATATAAACAAGGATATATATTGAAAGAGAAACTGGAATGGCTATTGCTAAAAGTCAAGAAAACTAGAGACCCTTGAAACTAGACTAGAAGCAAGAAAGGAGTTGACAAGAGTGAAGAAGCCTTCACTCTTGTCTCTATATATAGTATCTAACTAGGGCCTATGTGGCGACGTTCTATAGGACCTTCAATATGTGTTGACTTTATAAGACACATGCCTTGGCTTACAAGGCAAGTTCTTCTACGTGTGGGTGTCACGGCCATAATCATGTAAGCTAATAATTACATATAAAAATAGGTAGAAGTAAGTAAAAGTAGATAAAAGTAAGTTAATTCTATAATATTTAATATAGAAGCTTCCTAGAAACTTCCTAGATGCTGCTTTGACTTCATAGGTGTCTTTAATTGACTTTTTGGATTAGAAACGTGGTCAACAAGTTGGCCATGTGCCACACATGTTGTTAGCTTGAAGATCAAGCTAACTATGTGGTCCACACGTAGAAAAACTTGCCTTGTAAGTCAAGGCATGTGTCCTACAAAGTCAACACATATTGGAGGTCCTATAGAACGTCGCCACGTAGCCCCTAGTTAGATAGTATATATAGAGACAAGAGTGAAGGCTTCTTCACTCTTGTCAACTCCTTTCTTGCTTCTAGTCCAGGTTCAAGAGACTTTAGTTTCTTGTCTTGTGGCAATAGCCATTCCAGTTTCCTTTTAATATACCTACTTGTTTATATTTTGACTTATTATATCGAGATAGCCTTTTGGTGTATATTTTCCCTCATCGAGTCTTTGTCCTTGACAGTGGGCCACATAGTTAGCTTCATCTTCAAGCTAACAATATGTGTGGCACATGGTCAACTTGTTGACCATGTTTCTAATCCAAAAAGTCAATTAAAGACACGTATGAAATCAAAGCAGCATCTATGAAACTTCTAGGAAGCTTCCATATTAAATAATATAGAATTTATTTACTTTTATCTACTTTTATTTACTTCTACCTATTTCTAGATGATATTACTACCTTACATGATTGTGTCCGTGACACTTTGTAGAACCATAAAAAAGATAAAACAAGGTAGATTAGAAAAATAAAGAATATAAACATATGTACAAGGGAGTTAGGAATTGAATTTAGCAAAAACTACCTGAAGAAAATAAGAATTGATATCCAAAAAGGACCGATTGCCATCTAGGATTGAAATCAAATCCTAAGGTACAAAACTATGCATCTATGGCAACTCTAGGATTCTTTTGCAAATTGAAGAAAAAAGTTTGAGAGAAGACTTCATAGGGTTTCTTTGAATGTTGATTTTAGGCATTTTGAGTTTATAATGACTTTCTAAGAGATTTTCATAGTTAAGGTTGTTTTTGGTGAATTTGGTTTTGAAAAATAAAAAGTATTTATATTTGAGAGAATTTTGGAAGTTTAATAGTAGACCTATAGATGATAATTTTTGAATTTGTATTTATAGTTGTTCTTGTTGCATGCTATAAATTTGAGCATAATCAAAGTACTAGATTAAAGGTTATTAAAGTTCAAGTAAATTGAGGTCTTTGAAATTGGGTTTTGAGGATCAATGAAGGTATTTAAGATTTTTAGCAATTTTTTGGTTGGATTGAGGTGAAATTTATATGTATTTTAAACTAGGGTTGTCATTTCCAATATATATATGAATTTTGAGAGATATTTAATGATAGAATTAAGAGATTTTAGCTTAGGAAGATTGGCATTAAGATTGGAGAAGGAGGGTGGCCAACATCCAAGTCGAGTTTAAAGTTTATCATCTATTTGGTATTTGTGATCTTCTTCAAAAAAAAACTATACTTATTGTTAACTTAGTTGTTACAAGGTGTGAAAAGTTTGAGTCAAAATCAATATTTTAATCATTTACTATTGAATTTTTAATCTATTGTAGGAATGTTAAGAATTTTGTTTAAGATTTAGGATTTGATTAAGGATTGATTTAAGGTCTAGGATTTGGTTAAGATTTAAGATTTTATTTGGATTTAATTAGAATTTAATTAGAATTTAATTAGAATTTATTTAGGATTTGTCTAGGATTTTATTAGGATTCATTAGGGTTGGTTTAGGATTTAGGATTTTATTGGGGTTTCATTAGGATTTGACATAGGATTCTATATTTTAAACTTTAGATTAGTAATGACAACATATGATATAATATTAAATAATCAAATTTCAAAATTTGAATTTTATAATTTTCTTATGTCTATAGTATATATAAAATTTCAAATTAAATATATTTTAAGTTTTTTTTATACAAGTCAATTTTTGTATCTTTCTTGCAAAGGATTTTTTGCAAAAAATTAAAAAATTATGTCTCAAATTTCTTTTTAGTAGTCTTTATGTTTATATCACTAATACATTAATTGACAAGATCTTATTAAATTTAATTTTCTTACTGTAAGAATTGAATATGGATTAAAATAAAAATTTAAAATAATATAATTAGAAAATATAAATTAAACTTAAAAAAATAAATTTAAGATAATCCTATGAATTAGATAAATTAGTCTACAAATAAAGTTCAAAATAACAAAAAGTAATCCTTAAAAATTCTATTTCAACATACAATTCTGAAAAAATAAATAAATAATCTTTTAAAAGTAAAAACCACCTACATCAAAGAAAAACTAATGAAAAAAATTCTTTTTATGTAGTCATTCACAAAAATAAGAGATATATACTATTCTTTAATGTATTTGTGTAGTTTAGAAATCTAATATGTATTGATTCACATACATTATTAAAGTTAAAAAATAGTAAACTTATTTTTTTTTTATAAACAAGGTTGTTGTGGAAAAAATAGCTTTAATATGTGTCTCTATTTTATCTTTCAAAAACATCTTATAATATTATTCAATATAGTTTTTTTTTTTTTTTTTTTTTTTTTTTTACCAATACTAAAAAAATGCAATAAAAAATATTAAAGTACTACAATACTTAGAATCTAAAAAATATTCTAAAAAACCATTTACAAAAATGAAGAAAATTAAAGGAGATCTGAAAAGACTATAGAAGATTTAATAGGTTTGTAGTTCAGAAGAAATAATTCTTACAAATTTCAAAATACTAAACATAATAATAAAACTTTGTACATAATTTAAAACAAATTTATAATGCTTCAAAAACACTTAGAAAGTTTTTAGGGTATTTAGATAATCTAATATATTATAAAGATATATAAAACAAAATCCATTGATAATTTAAACCAAAAAAAAAACATAGAAAAATGGTCATAAAAATATTATTTTTAGAAATTTAAGGAAATATCATAAAATATGTCATAAATATATTTGTAGAACATATAAATTTGTATACAAAATGAATTAGAAGGATATTGTTAATTCCACCACAATTTTTGCTATTGCCATCATAACTTGCAACCCACTTGACATAGTTTTTTAGTCTTTTTAATTCCAATTAAAAATAAATAAATAAATAAAATGTTCAACCGTATGGTTTGAAAGGTATTAAACAAAAGTGGCATGTGGTGGATGGGAGGTTGTGGTGGCAGTGGCAAAAATTGTGGTAGGATTAGCAACACCCTATCAAAAAGGCAATCCTAAAGCATAACATGACTTAGAGGACAACACAGTTCATACAACCCAGTATAGACATCAACATTATCTCATGTATATCCTTGTCATAAACTTGAATTTCAGAGATTAGCAAACAAAATCTTGTAATGAATTAGAATTAATCCCACGGCTGCAGCTGCATCAAATACGTTGCACAGTGTTGGCATCACAAAATCAACAACACAAAAGTGAAAAATGTGACACCCAGACAAAGGATGGATTTGTGCACAATTAAGTGTTCCAACAGCAAAAAAGATGCTAAGAAAACTGGGGGAGTCTCGCTACCCACCACAAGAATCAACTCAAACAATCCATGGAAAAGTAATAACGCTGGGACTCGACACAGATACACCCCCGTCAGAAATTGGGCTGAATCAACGGGAAAACGGCAAAAAACGAACGGGAAGGATCCGGTAACGGTGACAAGGCGGGACGAGTGAAGTCGGGGTGCGGCCACCAATGCTAGCAACGCCTCGAGCTGCAATCTTCGGCAGGTGGGTCAAGCAGCGCGCGAGCCAATCGCGCCTCCCGATTGCTCCTGGAAGTGGATAACACTTCAGATATGACGCTCGCCGAGGCGATCCGCTTGCTGCGGCAGGGCTTCTTCATGTTCACAGCCCCGTCGGTGGAGTTGTCGCAGTGCAGCATCCGTAGAAGCCCTCCGCAGAGCCCGTCTCAGTTGGCATTCAGACGTGACGATCAGTGCGTGTGAGTGCATATCCCCAGGCGGCGTGATGTCGTGCACCGCAGCGCTGTCGTCTGGATTCGCCGTAAAGTGCGCCTCCCTGGCGTGGGCCAAGAGTGGCATCTCCGGCGCCTCGGTCACCTTTGCGGCCCCCTCCGTCTCTACCGTTGTGGCCAGGAGCTCTGTCGTTAGATCATGCAGGGGTGACGAGAGTGAGACCGTGAGTCGCCGCGCGGCGCTCGCCTTGGTTGCTGGTGTAGTCGCTGCCAGCGCGAGGATCGCGCCTGCCAATGCTGCGTATGGAGAGAGCGGTGCGTGAAGTTGCTAGAAGTGGAGTGGGGATTCGGGAATAGTGTATGTGGTATGGGTGTCCTGAGTTATGACTTCGAACGTGGTACCGTTTATGAGTATTCATGTTTAAAAGCATTTATCTATTGATCTATGTGTTGGAAGTTGATGCTGAGAATTCGTGATGTCATACGTCTGGCAGCTAATGTTTTTGGTGCCCCCAAGCAATCTACTGGCTTCTCCCCATTCACCGGCGATGGCTTTTCCCTAGATATTCCCTCGAAGTGGAATCCCAGTAAAGAAAAGGAATTCCCCGGAACAGTGCTGAGATTTGAAGATAACTTCGACGCTACCAACAATCTGTTTGTGTCTATTACCCCCGCCAGTAAGGGCAGCATAACAGAATATGGATCTCCAGAGAAGTTTTTGGATGAGGTGGGCTCTCTCGCACCTGCTGTATCTACGTCAAGAATTGATTAATGAAGAAGTAATTCTTCCAATATTTCAATGAATTTGTGCAATTTATAAATTCCCCTAATTTACTTGAGACTTAGCAATTGGCATTGTAGATGGCTAGTGCTTGTTATGATCAGTCTGGTATTATATATTTCCATCCTTGCTTATATGATCAATGATCGTTGCACAGTCACAATTCTCTCTTTTGAAGCAAGGCTTCCCACGCAATGAACGCCTACTTTGCATGCCCATGTGGCTGATTGCAGGTCTCCTATCTGTTCGGGAAGCAAGCCTACAATGGCAAGACTGCATCCGAAGGAGGATTTCAGAACAATTCTGTTGCAACTGCAGCGATTCTCGAGGCGAAATCAGTGGAATTAAAAGGCAGACCCTACTACAAGTTGAGTGTGCTCACTAGAACCGCTGACGGAGATGAAGGAGGCAAGCATCAGCTGATCGCAGCCACTGTGAAGGATGGTAACCTGTACATGTTGAAGGCTCAAGCCGGTGACAAGAGATGGTTCAAGGGTGTAAAGAAATTCGTAGAGGGTGCATGGAACACATTCACTGTGGCTTAGTTTCTACACTAACTTCAATACTGTGGATCACCCAACACGATCGTTTTCACAGTTTGAAGATTCTACCGGATCGGATCACTGTCGAAATGTATCGGGATTGGTTTGTGGAGGATACAGATGCCGTTTTCCGCATTCCATTTTCCCGGCCGAGGTCATCTGCTGGCACGTAGATACTGTCTAACTGGGCTCATCTTATGCATGCCTCCCTTGTTGAACGCGAGTAAGGTGACTGAATTCAACCGAGTCTGGCTGCATCTTGGAACACCGATCTATGGGTCGGACTTCTCTTGTCAATATATCCTCATGAATTATGTAGGCTATACGTGAACAAATCAATATTACAGACTGAACTAATCCATTGGTATGCTGGATTGTTGCCCTGTGAACGAGATGAATACGTGCAGTATGGCTCCTGATCATTGCCTGACGTTAAAATTGTCACGACTTCTGTGCACCGAGGCAAAGTGTGTTGTAGGCTTAATGGAAAAAATTGAATTTGCTCATTCATAGGTTATATGCAAGTGAGCATGTTAAACAATATACACGCAATTGTTGATGAACTTGTTGATTGTGAATTTGCCCTCATTTCTTGATAACTTTCTTGCGCCAGTATCTCTAACAATGCAATTGAATACTTCAAATCAATAGATTTTTTTTTAATTTCATCTAACAAACTATGTGTTTGAAGAAAATTCTTTACCACCGGTAATATTCAAAGGTGGACAGTTGACATTCTTTCCCAACATTGTAACCGCTGCTCAATATGCTTCTGAATTTATATAAATTATAAATCAATTTTAAGACTATGATTTCTCCAACCTTACTAATGTGTGCAATGCTTGACTTTGTAGTTGACCAAGATTAAAACCACGATCACAACAAATCTATGTTCAAACACTTAATTATAATAAATATATAAAAAAATCACGCACAATATACACTAGTTATGATGCAATAATATATACGCATATCTCTGTAAGCTTAATGTATATATATATATATATATATATATTTATAACTTCATCAAATTAATTTCCTACACTTTTAATAATCTTAAAATACTTCAATATTTTATCACGGAAAATATAATCATCGTAGAAAGAAGAAGTGGTATTGCAAGTCCTAATGAAAAACTGTATCCAACTCATAATGGAAGAAACACATCCCATTCAATTGGTTATCTTCACGCTTTATATATAATATACTGGAAATTAACTTTTGAAATCATGATACAAAATAAACGAAAGGAAAAAGGCCAAGAAAAGAAAAACAATAATAAAAAGAAAAAAAGTCGTGTGTTATACAGTCTCGGGCACCGAGACCGACTTAAGCAGATTGCGCTTAATAAGCTTAAATGTTTTAAAATTCAACGACTTCTTTATTTATATATTTACTAGGAATCTCTGCTCGCATACAGAAGGGTATCTGGTCTAGTGGTATGATTCTTGCTTAGGGTGCAAGAGGTCGGGAGTTCGATTCTCCCGATACCCCATTTTGATGAAAGTATATTGCAATGGAGAGCTGCTGATCGCTAAACTACCTGTTTTGGAGATTTCACAATGTTGTAATTAGGTGAAATATCCGTTGATTAGGTTGTGTAAATATCCGTCGATTAGGTTGTGAAAGTATCCGTTGATTTCAAAATGGTTGTGTAAATGAAACATTCCTATGGAATAAAAGGAGATAGTTTCTGGAATGCAATAAACGTGAATGAAATTTATTTTCAAATTGTGTATAGAACAAATTGATTGTTTAAACTATTTTGAGATCAACTCTTCTTTGAAATTATTGTGTAGGATATTTTTAATAATCGTAAAATAAGTACAAGTACAACTGTAGACACCTACCAATTTCTTTGGCCTTAACACACACACACACACACATATATATATATATATATAACTGCCCACAACAAACCCACATTAGAAATGCAAAACCATTCGTAAATGGCACCCATCAACGACGACTACGAACAAACAGATTGTAACCAAAATTGATGCCAATTATTCAAAAAGAAGTGAAAAGAAAAATTATTGTAAAGATGATGTAATCTGAACTTACAGAAGCCAGAATGGACTCCAAAATACAGGTAAAGTGTTCCAGTCAGCTTTTCATTCTGTAAAAATTATATATTGCCAGTGCTGCGTGCAGTCACACAACAAAGCATTGTCCAATGCTGCAGTCCTCAAAGTTCTTTCTTACACTGACATCATCATGCCACATTTGAAACTTCTCGTGAGCAATTCAGGTGAACTGACAGCTTATATAACCTTTGGCCTTAAAGCAATTATGTACCATATACATGGTCATAACTTAAGATGATGAAAATAATGGAAGCTCTTCAATAGAACATTCTAAAATAAACACACATTGAAGTTGCTTAAGTTCCAAGACATTATTGAAGAAATCAAGCACTTGTATTTCACGACTTTTTAAAATTAAAATGCAAAATTTGTACATTTGTTTCATCTCTTCTTATAAAAAATTTGACAAGATATCATGTAATGATTTATTTACAAGACAAAGACCTTTTAATTCACTTAGGTTTTTGCAACCTATATAAAATAAAATAAAATAAAATAAAATAAAAAACTTATTATTTAGATACTCCTCATGTTTAGATTAAAAAAACATCTAATTTATATCATGACATAAAAACATCTAGATCTTAGAACTCAAAAGTTGAACAATACTAATAATATTATAATAAATATTAATAATATTATAATAAACTATTCTTAGTATTCTTTAACTTTTATTATTATAATATTATAATAAATACTAATATATTTACAATATAATAATAAAAGTTGAACAATACTAAGAATAGTTTAAAGCATATTATAAGAATATATCATATCTCAATTTATTACACTTATCTACAATTTTTGTTTGCTTGTATTCAGATTCCACAATCTTCTCATTACCAGTAATTGATCATGCATTGAGAGAAATACTTGTTCATTGATAAAGACCAAATGCTTAGCAATCAAATTTTGAAATTCAATACAACTTTCTTCTTTAGAGCTCCATATAATCAAAGCCTTTTATATTATCACATTTTAACAAATATCAAAGTAAAAATAACAAGAAACATGTAAGAACTTCTTCCTTTGAGGCCTTTCAGGATCATGAAAACTAATCTTTAATGTCTTCCACAACTTGTCATTTCTTCCACCATCTAATGGTTAAGCTTTCTTCAACTTTTTGAATATTCTTTCTCAAAACATAATTCTTTAGTTTTTTTTTGTAAAAAGATAAGATCCTACTATATCAAGGCTTAATGGAAGCCTATTGCATGTGGCAATAATATTATTAGTAATACATTTAAATTTTTTATTGAAATAAGTTGGTTCTTTGAAGATATGAAAATAAAAAAAACTTTATTACTTTTAAACTTTCCAAAGGTTGTAACTCTAACTTTTCAACATGGTTTTTGAAAATAGATGAGTCATAATGTAACGAGGTATAGATAAGATATTTCTATTATTGTTACATAGGAATAGATAGTTGGAACCATATTTGAGAAGATATGGAAGTTTTTAGAATTAGAGCTAGATTAGTGGATCAGATGAGATCCGCCATAGAATATTCTAGAAAGAATTTAAGGTAGTTATCTAAATGGGGTCCACCATAGAACCTTCTAGAAGGACTTTAAGGTAATTAATTAAGTGGGATCCATTATCTAAGAACATTTTAGAAATTCTAATGTAGTAGAAAAAAGTATAAATAGAACTAGCTAGGGTCTTTTGGGCATCTAGTCAAGTATGGCTTTAGACCTTCTTTCTCAATAAAGTTTGATTTTATATCTTCTTATTTAATTTTATTTTGCTCTATTTTTATTTGTACAATTTTATCTTTTATATATTGTCTTATTTAATTTTGTTCAATTTTGTTCTAGTCTATTTTGTCCTACTTTATGATGAGGTTTTATATTGCTGTAGATTAGAAGAGTCTTCGACTTTCAAGATAGATTGGTCCTATTTCAATGGTATTAGAATAAGTATTAGAATATTCTTTGGTAGTGTGTAGATAGCTATGATCTACTTCAAGGTCAATTGTTATAGTCACACTCAATCTACAAATGTTTGAAGAGGTAATTTGGATTGTAAAGAAAATCAATGCTATAGATTTCTAAAATTGTAGAGCATGATATATAGTACAAAGTCCTATTGAAATAGGATTAGACTATTTCAAAAATCCATGATCCTTCCAATGTACAACAATATAAGGCTTCTTCACAAAATATGATAAAATAGACCAAAACAAAATTAAATTCAACTAAAAAAAATAGAATATGAAAGATAAAACTGAGCAAACAGAAATAGAACAAAACAGATCTGAACAAAAAGATGCACAACCAAACTTTACTAAGAAATAGAATCCAAAGCCATACTGGATCAGATGCCCCAAAATGCCCTAATCAGTCCTATTTATACCTTGTCCTACTACCATAGACTTTCTAGAATGTTCTTAGGTAGTAGGCCCTACTGTCAAGGACAAGAACTCAATAAAAAAGAAATTCAGACAAGTGAGCCTTCACTCAAAGAAAGGTAACAAAATATAAATCAATAAATATGTGTATTTAAAGAGAAACTAGAATGGCTATTGCCAAAAGACAAGAAAACTAAAGACCCTTAAAACTAGACTGGAAGCAAGAAAGAAGTTGACAAGAGTGAAGAAGGCTTCACTCTTGTCTCTATATATACTATCTAACTAGGAGCTACGTTGTCGTATGGCGTGATTTGCTATCTGGGAATACACTGGGTATCTAGCCATAGAGAGTGTACCTTAAACCTTCATATGATTCTTTTCTTGGCTTCCAAAACTCCTTTATTTTTTGTATAAAACTCCAAATATAACAAAATCCCTTCAAAATATATTTTTCCTGTGAAGGGTTTTCTCGCCCGGAACTTTAGAAAATCATAACTATTGATCTAACCGTTCAGTTTGTTTCAAATTTACAAGATAGGTAGAATTTACCCTTAAATTTTACCACAAAAAAAAACCAACCGCAAATTCACTCCCGATATTCTGGCATCTAAGAAACCCTAGCAGACACTCCAAACCCTAATTTACAAGCATCTGAAAACTATTTTCCTTATATCTCAAAAATCCGAACTCTAAATGTCATAAAACTTATGCACAAAGTTTATTAACATGAAATTACACATTCCTTGAAATTTTGAGCCAAAACCTCACAAAATTTCTGAAGATATAGCTCAAGAGACAAACACTAGTAAATCGGTTTATTTACTACCCTTAGATTGCATGTGCTGACTTCAAAATCCAATAACTCCTTCATCCCAACTTGGAATCCAGTAAACAGTATGTGAAACGCATAGCCGCAAAAGTGCTCTTTCCAGTCGCAGTCGCCGATCCTCAATTGCCGTCCGTACACGTGCGTTATGCCCAAAAGAGTGACAGTAGGTCCAAAACTGACACCTTAACTTTGAGCGCCTATAACGTCTTCATAAAAACCCCAAATGACACAAAACTCGCACCAAAACCTTAATCAAAAACCTAAACCTTCTGACCCTAGCCTTCAAAGTTCGAATGGCCTCGAGAAACTAACCCTAATCCCTAATATGGCCTCGGGCAGCCTCCTCAAAGCCCATTGGTCATGATTTTTGACCAACAGGAATGGAGATTTTCATTTTTCATCTCCACTCATCTATATTGGTGCCTTTATTCCTCCCTTTGCTACCAAAATCCTTCTTCAATCCTTTTTCTTATGAGATTTACATAATGTATGCTCTAAACACCAAATAAAAGAACCAAAATAAGTTTTTTAAATATCACCAATGTCTAACAAAGGTGACTCTAAATATTTAGAAGTTACTATCAACCAAAACCAATCTTAAAAGCCACTATCAAAAAGAAATTAAAGTTATACAAATTCTATAGTAATCTTTTTAAACAACCTCTTTTCAAAGTAATAATCAAATTATATTCTACAACCAACTAAAATCTACTAACATGGCTCTCACCATGTTATTTAATAAATTATATATTAAGTACATAATTACATTATTTTCATATAGTAGCCGAACCACAACATGACAACGTGGCGACGTTCTATAGGACCTCCAATATGTGTTGACTTTGTAGGACACATGCCTTGACTTATAAGGTGAGTTTTTTTACGTATGGGCTACATAGTTAGCTTGGTCTTCAAGCTAACAATATGTGTGGCACATCGCGAACTTGTGGACCACGTTTCTAATCCAAAAAGTCAATTAAAGACACCTATGAAATCAAAGCAGCATCTATGAAACTTCTAGGAAGCTTTCATATCAAATATTATAGAATTAATTTACTTTTACCTACTTTTACTTACTTCTACCTATTTCTATATGTAATTACTGGCTTACATGAGTATGTCCATGACATTACCCCGCCCTTCTAGGGACGAGTTCCACAAAGAGCAGTCATCATATGTTGAAGAAATTTATGATGCGACAAATTGTATTCACGAGATACTCTGATCT